CACAGGAAGAAGAAAATGTGCATTGAGTATATATGAAACAAAAAAAGTATTGGTATTATCCCAGTTGTTCAATTTTGGTAGCAACAGTACTTTGCAATGTTATTGTAAACAAGCAAATTTGAACGTAGAAATGAGATAAGGAAAAAAAATTTGAAATAATTTATACTTTACTTTTTCGTTGTTGCTGTTGTTAATATGTTATTCTTATTACCAGTATAACTATTACTGTGAGGATTGTTGTTACTAAAGCTAAAAACAAAAAAAGCATCATTAATATTTACGGAAAGAGAATCAAAAGAAGGTAAGAAAGAAGATAAAAGGAAAGTGCAATTTTTTAATCCATTTAGTATAAAATGGCAAAAATATAATTAATGTGGAATTTATGTAAAGTGATAGTGATAATTTTAATTGCAAAAGTGATAATCAATTAAAAAATATTGAGGAATTGTTGAAGACAGTAGCTAAACGTTGTTTTCACCTATGGCTATCGGAGGGTGCTTTTTTGCTTTGTTTGCCCGGCCTATTGGAGAGGGGAGAAACAAGGGAATAGGGGAGGGGAAACGGGGAACAATTGCCGTTCGAGTCTGCTGACTAACTAACTGACTGACTGACTGACTGACTGCCTGCTGGTATTTGTGGTGCTGGTCCTGTTGTTGTTGCTACTACCGCTGCAGCTATCGTGGGTGCTGCTCTTGTTACTTCTGCTGTTGTTGCTGTGGTTAATGTTAATGATGGTAAGGATGATAATAATAATAATAATAATAATAATAATAATAATAATATAATAATAATAATAATAATAATAATAATAATAATAATATAATAATAATAATAATAATAATAATAATAATAATAATAAGACAATAATAATAAATTAATTTTGAGATTTTTCGGAATCAGCCGATGACCGTGACGATTATGATGAATGCTGATGATGTTGGTCAAAGCTTTAAAGTGTTTGAGTTACTCTGAAGGCATTTTGTAGGCGACAGTGGCATTTTTGGCAACTTCACAAAAAACGATAGCTTACCTTCAGCAATCAGAATTCTTGAATAAATACTGATAATGTGATATGTCTATCTACTGAAACCTTGCGCTTCAAATATCTGTTATTCACACTTTTCTGTTAAATTCTTTGCCGAGTCAAGGGCAGATTGATGGGAAGGGAAAAAGTTGTTGACTTTTTCTCTAAAATTCGACATACCTTTTACAGTTTATTGAAATTTGTAATCGTTTTTTTTT